AAGCAGACTGGCCATATCCAAGGGGAATTGTGTTGTGTGATCGTCCAAGAAAAACGCAACAGCCACAGTGACATGTTCAGAGCAGATCCTCTAACCTTTCGCATCCGAGGGGGGTGTTGGTTGCCACGGTGATTGGCTATTGAAGACTTTCACCTGACACACAGGTGCCTGTTCCTGACACATGCATAGCGACGACGGACGTTTTATTTTTATTATTATTTTTTTTCTCCCTGCTATAAAGAATGGCTTTCTGGAAGGGGAGACTGCCTTGTCGCTTATTTCCTGCGGGACCTTTTCATTGGCTGCAATTGTGAGCTGCTTGTTTTTCTGCCCCATGTTGTTAATTGCCCTGAGCATTGTACTTAGAAAACTGTTCATTATTATTGGAAGTCTGAGCGTCAACAGCATTTACACCAGGATATTCAGCCAGAAAAGGTAATACAAGCAACTTGCTTGTGGAAGATAAGTCCTTTAAAAAAAAAAACACCGCATTTCCTGTTTACGTCATTTACATATTGTAGATCTGATTCAGTGTGTTGACGAATATACACGTACATGTACGTCATGGATACATGTACATGTGGAATAGCCGTCTTTTGATTAAATACAAACAAAATTGCCTGAACAGTCGGCTTGAAAACTGCCATAATCGAATTTAATTTGACATTGTTGAGAGCTGTATTGCTGTAATGAGTTTTTTTGGATAGGTGTTTTTTTTCTCGCTAAAATTTAGTGTACAGTGGAATCTCAAGTCAAATCTCAGGGAAATCGGCTCAAATTTTGAGTTAAGCAGAGTTTTGAGTTATCCAATGGATTTTCTATTCAACAACAATTGATTGGAATAAGTTTTAACTTTGAGTTAGAAGGGTTTTTGAGTAAACAGGTTTTGACTTATTGAGATTTCACTGTATATTGTAGGATATGTACATGTTCATTTATTTTTTATTCACGCTAATATTCAAGATTGTTGTAAATTGCAGCAAATTCATCAAAACTGGTCCTTTTCCCAACACAGAGTTAAGATTGAGCGCATAGGATTTTTGCCTGTTTTTGTTGTCGGAATCATATTATTTTTTTGGGTCATATAAATTCTGATCTCCTATTTGCTAAAGGCACTTCAATGGTTTGCAGTTGAATGTGTGACAAACACAGCGTCCTATCTGTCAGAATATCAGAATGGTTACCTGTTTGTTGTCTTCCTGCTTGAATAAAATAACTGCATTCTGTGGGGGATTACCACAATTGACATATTATGCTTGTTCGTTCAAAAGTTTAATGGTAAGAGAAGGAAATTGATTTTCTGAAATTACAAGTATGTGCTTGGGTTTAATTTCCCGTGTAGTGAATTGTTTCATGTGTTGTGCGTATTATTCTGGACTAGGCGGTTACCCGGCTTTGGTGGTTCGTAGGACGTATGGAGTTGCTGGATGTAGCGATTGATTACCATGAGAAGTTGTCCCCCTACTGCGATCCTTTTGTGCCTGAAACTGCCCCGAAATCAGTGCTCTTTTTATCATGGTGTATCATACAGACCCATATTCATAAGCCTGGGAGTTCCCTTTTCAGATGCAATCAAAGCGTGTGTATGTGATCTGATACACCGTGCCCTCTGGAGACATGCACACAATAGGGAACAAAAGATTGTATATATGTACGTCTCCACCACAGGGCAATTTCTATAGATGAATACGTCTCGACAAGGTTTTCACGAAATAGATATATGGATTTTACTAAAAAACTAGGAATTTCCAAGGTGGGTTGATCTGTCGCAAATAGAAGACTTTTAGAAAAGGGATATTAATTCCGAATTTCAGCCAAGGAAATTTATTCTGGTTAAACTAGGAACATTTTTAAACTGTACTTTCAAAACTCGAAAACTTTAGTACACGAGAACAAAGAAATGTCCCCACAAGGATACAAATTCCAGTACATGTATGTGTGTGTGTATGAGATATGTGAATGTAGGACCCCCCCTGATATTTTATGAGTGTTGAGAAAAATCTGTAGGGTCCCAATCCCTACATGTAATTTTAGGATGCATAAAAAAGGTCAAATGTGTCAAATGACTTGTTAAAACTTAATATCAAAATACAATGCCGATCTATCATTATGTGCCACATGTTATTTTTAGATGTACTTGGTTTTTTAATATCAGGTCCTGAGTCCATGTACATGTACTTGGTAGGCGGGTGCTTGTTTTAGGCCTGTTTCATTTTGATCTGTTGCCATACCCCTGGGCAGTGTGGCAACCCTGTCCAACGCTAAGTCTTCATTCTCTGACCCCCTACAGTTTAAAAACAGTCTGGCCTGTCAAAACTTGGAATGGCCCTCCGAGCAAATGGCATTTCAGTCACAGAAGCACCTGGGCTGCTGCCTAAGCCAGCTCTCCCCTGCCCAGCCCCCCCCCCCCCATCCCCCACCACCCCCCCCCCCCAAAAAAAAACCCCTCATCTTTACTCTGAGAAAACTCCATTTCAAAGTATTCAATTTCCCAGTTAAGATCCACAGATGTATATTAACTGATTTAAACAGCTGGGCTTTGTAGGACGTGAAAATGTCAAGGGTAGGGGAGATTTGTTGAGATGTAATCCCTGCATTCCGGGGGATTTGTCATTGGTTTCAGTTGGGGTTTGTACGGATTCTGGTGATTGGACAAACAAGTGTGGCCGCGCTGCCATTCATTCAGATGATGAACGTCATTCAGATGATGAACGACTTACAGTCCTTCATGATGTTACAATGTCATTTGTGATGCGTTTGGTCACTTGTAAGGTTGATGTGGGCCGGGGATGGTTCAGGAAAAGATATGTTTCAATCTAAACTTGTTTACACTGATTTTCAAAATGACACAAGTAGATCTTAAAGTACCGGTAGGCCAATCCTTGTTGAGTATGCGGCCGCAAACCCCCCCCCCCCCCCCCCCCCCTCCCTGCAAATTCAATCACAGAAATTCGCAGCATAACCTGATTTAGTTTGCATGCGATGCTCACGTACTGCATTAGCGCAGACGTTTCTTTGTTTACTGTGAAAACTACAGTTTGAATCAAAAACTAAACAGACGGATCAGACCGGAGACCTAAATTCCCTGAGTTACATGTACATGTACATACAATTAGCCCAGATCATATCCATGAGCAAACTGTTATCTGACAGTAATTTAGTTCATACGGCTTGCTTAATAGTAATGTTTTATTCATCCGTCAATTGGTTTGCATTTAGATGACCTGAGCATATGGAGAAAAAGACCTGCTTATTTTACAGTTCTTGTCTTGTTGTATCAATAGTATGTGCATGTATATTGCATGTATATTAACATGTATGCTGAGGCAAGTTTTTTTGTGTTTTAGTTTATAATCCTATATCAACAGCAAGTATTGGATATTACACGTACATGTACATATACCGTACCTGAAAAAAGGAACCTATTGTTGTGTTCAATCTGCATATAATATCGGCACTAATTGTCCTAATCGTTAAAAGTATATAGCGCCATGCGTGAACAAACTCAATTCAACCAGTGCATATTTTTGTATGTCCCAGAAATCGCACTTTGCATTTCCAATAAGACAAGTGTATTCCTACGTCAACAACTTTGTAATTTTCTCTCAAGTCAAGGCAAAAACATTGTTAGCGTATTACTTACTTGGTTTCTCCACTAGGGCTTTTCTAAAGGAAGCCCTTTAATTTGATTACGCATTCCCTTTGGTTGATGGGGCTGGCAATTCTATCTCCTTGAAAACTCTGGGTGTCACTTCCTCTTGCAGGGTTTCTTGTTTTGCCTCCAAAACAGAATAAGGAATGATCAATTACCGTGCACTTTCCCCCCTTTTCCGACAATGCTTTGAATCAAATTTAGAACAGGAAAGGGAGAAAAAAACCTCAAAAGTACACGTTACCCCCTCAGCCACCCTTGTGAAATATCAGGAATATTATCCTGAGACACTGATCCCTAGTGTTCATTAGGACTGTTCAACTAGTAGACGTTTGTTTGGTTTTTATTTTATTTTACTTTGGAGCCTGAAAGAGTGGGTAGCAAATTTGACCTGAGTTGTCCTCCTCAGGTGACCTCAAATCTGTCAGGCACCCCCTCAGCTTTATTCAGAGGTGTTGTTTTTCTTTCTCACTAAGCATGGACTGCACCCGTAGGGCACAAATTGCTGAGAGTTTTTTTTTCTATATTTTCATCCCCCTCACTGCTGTAGAGTTGTGATAAAAATTTGGAAGTGTGATTGAGTTGAAGCAAACAGGAGTTTATCCCCGGACATATTATATCCCTGCGGCATTGAGTTGCCACACAGTGCAAGACGAATTTTTTTTCTCCCCCTTCCTGTTGCTTTTCAAGAATTTCCAAAGTGCCACCGTGCCAACCCCCCTTGTGGTTGAATAGAGCGGATTAAGGATGGAGTTATCAAAATGTTGCATTGTGCAAGGCATGGTGTCTGGGCCTTTGCTTGCGTCGCGTTCTCATGGCTTCGGTCTGCCGTCCCTGAAGACGGAGGCTTTTGTCTGGCCGAGGCTGAATTGTCGGATGGCAATTGTAACTGCTATTCCTGGCTGGATTTGGTTCCAGGGAGGCCAGGAATGGGCCACTTGTTGTTGAAGTGAGAGGCATTGTGAAGTAGGTCAACCCCACTCTCTTCAACAACAGCTGGTATAACATCGGGCTCTACCCCTCAGCTAAGGAAACTACACGTAGGCAGTCGTGGAGAGTGACCTGTGCTCCTCCAGATCTTCATAGATCCTATGCGAAGTTGACACAGGAATATTGAGCCATCAGTGTTGCTCCTTATTGCATTGTTGCTTCTTGTTGGTTCACACTGCAAGGCAATCTTAAGTTAATAATTGTTGAGGGTGCAACCTCCTTATCTAACTTTTAGATGCCTTTAAATCTTTGTATACTGTATGAGTACTAATTTTCGTTTGTACTGTATGGGAAAAAGAGTACAGGCTTTGTTACATGATTGAAAAAGTTAAAATTCTTACTTTTGTATCTTCCACAGAGAAAATCGCCAAGGAAAAGTCCTCCAGCAACCACAAGTCCAAGAAGGAACGTAAACGGAAAGCGGTTGAACCCTTTGCCCCTGAAGATCCTAAGAAACTTTTGACCCCACCCAAGAGGCCTCTATCTCGTTCAGCGAGCTCCGAATCCTCACTAGATAAGGAGAAGACAAAGGAAAGGGAGAAAATACCTGAGGAAGAGAAGCCCCGAGTCGAAGAACCGAACTCTAAAGAGGAGAAGAAAAGTGAAAAGACTCTGACAAAAGAGGAGAAAAAGGAAGCAAGGAAAGAGAAGGAGGAGAAACGGGAAGGCAAGGAGGAGAAGAAATCCAAGGAAGAAAGGAAAGAGAAGAAAGAACGCAAGCATCACCACCATCACTCTTCCCGCTCACCGGATCACGAGAAGCACTCCAGCCGTCACCGCAGTAAATCGCGTAAGCACGGCAGCGAGGACAAGAAATCTGAAACCAAAGACAACGCGGGCCTCGTCACTGGTGAAGGAAGGGACATTGCGCACACAGAACGCAAGCACCACAAAAGCAAGCACAGGTCTAAAACCCGGGAGAGCAAATCCAAGGTCGACAGTGAGCAAACATCAGCCGATAGCCAACAGGAGACGCCGTCGTCAACCGTTGTGGAACCGGAGAGCCAACAGACCTGCAGCACCACTATATTTTCATCAACTTCCGTGCCCAGTGTGACCAGATTTTTTTCGCAGTGTGTTGAGAACATCATCACCAGGGAGGTGACTCGGGATTCAGAAGCGGGCAAACATCAGTTTCCTGTGAGCAAAGACTCGACATCTAGAGTATGGGAACCGCCTCGTGTGCCCGACCCTACTGGAGCCGATTTGTTTCAGTTTGATGATGCAACAAATACAAGCACAGCTTGTTCTGTGACAGCCAGGACAGACTCAACAATCACTACCTCCACTGTATCAGCCGCAGCTCCTGTCGTATCCACTCCTCTGAACTCTGTGAATCCATCAACAGTTAGGACTAATCCAGTGCAAAATCCTACCACTGAGGTTCCCAAACTCAACCCTGTCAGTCAGAGTTTGGATGCAGATTCGGCCACTGCACCTCCACCCTCTGAGAACCCCAAATTACTATCAGAGGTGTCAAATGAGGAGGAACCAAGAGTAGCTGAGGACGAGAAAGAGAAAAGTGTAGCTGCTCTAAGCCAAGATTGTAAGCCTGACACTGACAAGCAGGAGGATCAAGTCCAAGGAAGTGAAGACCCCACAACTGCTTCCTTGAAATCATTGGATGGAACTGAAGAACCAAAGGGCCCCAAAATTGAGTCTGATACTTTGGAGTCTGAACCAAGAAAGGAGACCTGTTCCAAAAGTCCAAATTCAAGTGCCAAAGCACCCCTTTATACGTCGGAGCCAGTTGAAGTGTATCGGGATCCCAGCCTGGTGGACTCCGCAGTTACACACATTGAATCTATCCAGCACTTCCGCCATTTAAGCCGGGAGCATACCCCATCCCCAAGCCATAAGCTGTTAGGCCCCTCACCACACAGTACTCTCCGTGCCACGCCGACAGCCATCGGGGTTAAACCCAGTGCATTTGTGCCTTCTGCAGGGGCCATCCCATCAGCCGGCCACATTCCAGGGCATCCTTCCTTACAGCGCCGTCCAATGTTCTCCCAGGTTCATATGTACCCTCACCCCCTAACACCCCATGGACTGTCCACCTATGCTGCCACACCTCACCTGGCAGCCCTGGAACAGCAGCACTTGCACCCTTCCCATGTGGCAGGGTTCATCCACCAGGATTCCATCGCCCGCTTGAGACCTCAGCTGGGCTACCCGACCCTCATCAGCCCTCAGCTGGTGGCCCAGCTCCAGGCCCAAGGCTTGCACCCGGGTGGGATGTCAGCAGCACAGCTGCAGGCACTGTGGCAGCAGCATCAGCAACAACAGCAACATGCTGTCTCCTTGGGATTACCAACGACTTGGGTGGTACACCCTGAGGAGCTCAGCCATCTGCACCATTCACAACAGCAGCAGCAACAACAGCAGCAGCAACAACAGCAGCAGGAGAAATCACAACCAGCTCAACCGCAGGGGCAGTCCCATCCAGACAGCAAGATGCATACACCCAGACCAACCTCGCAGCCTGCTCCTCACAAAGCAGTGCCTGCACCTCATGACAATGGACGAGATACCACTGTCAGGCATTACCAGGTAGGTCTTGAAGAGCTTTGATTGTCATCGATTATAAAAAAAAAACCTAGACCTCAACATTTGAAGTTTCTGGCAAGATTTAGGGAGGTGAAGCCCAGCCACTATTACATGACATGTGGCTTGATACTTATTGAAAATTAGAGTGCAAAGCAAGTGCCACCGAGGATCTGCAGTGTGGTGCAGAAGGTTTTTAGCAAAGATTCCCAAGAAGTCAGGACGAATCTAGACACGTCTGTTCAACAACAGAGTGATCATTCATCAAGTGACATGAACTTAATCATCAGCATGCATGAGACTGTAATGCTTTTAATATATGAAGTTTTACTCCGTGTCTCAGTACTAAAAGGTCCTTATTGAAAATTTGGGCAAAAGGTCCTTATTATAAAAAAAAAACCTTCAAAATAATAATAAAGTTGTTTTAATCTGAAATAATTTACTTTTTCAAGCACAAAATCAGACCTTGCAGTGTCTGCCAGAAATCATTGGACTGCTGTAAGGACCTTTTAGCACTGAACCGACGCATTGTGAAAATTTCCACCAAGCAACCTGAAAACTTTCATTTTGTATTGTAAATATAAAATATGCCTTATAAATATATTTGTAAATATAAAATATACATGCAATTACAGTCAGTTTTATGTTCAAAGCGTAAAATTTACATGTCAAGTTCTTCAGACATGTCAGGACCTGCCTCATATATTTCTTTTATTACTTGTTTCTGTAATTTTGTCCACGTGATAGCTTCTGGGTTGCTGTCCATTATAAAGTCCTTGTCTTGCTCCTATCCTTCTTGCCCCAGGAATATCCCTCTTCGGATGCCCAGGCGCTAGTGCAGCGACACTTCCAGGAGTCGCTCCGCAAACTGCAAGTGCCGTTCTCCTTCAACACGTCCGCCACCACCACCTGCGTGGGCAGCATCACGACGGGGACGGCCATACCCAAGCAGGAGGGGCACCCTCTCCCGACGGATTCCCAGGTTAGTCCCAGTGCTTTTCCGCTATTTTTGTACTCTATTTGTTATCGATGACGATCTCAAAGTGCCTGGTTGTAGTTCATGAGGTTTTAATACACAGTTTCCAGGTCTTTTAGGGCAGCATTTGCTTGGAGCACATCATTTCATTACAGTAGCATGGGTACTTTCAGTTTGGATAATTTCATTAAATCTGTTCTTTGGCATATTTTAGATACTTAAAATGTTGTCTTCAGTGATTGTCCGGTGACATTTAAATAAAAAGAAAAGTATGAGACACTCATTCTAATTCGGTACCGATAATGACAGTTCTTAACGGGGAGAAATGCACCTGCCCGACATGGCTAAGACAGCCAAGCCATTCATACATGTACCCTGATCGCTGAAATGCCAGCCATTTGCCTAGTAATGACGACAGGTGTTTTTCTTGTATTTGGACAGGTTTGTCTGGAGAGGAATAGCTCTGCGAAATATTTTTGTCACAGAAAAAAAAAATCATGGATGGTATATCACAGGGGAATTGTCATGTTGAATTATTTATGATGAGGATTAACCCATACAGTTCACATGCTGTTCCCAACTTTCTTTTACTTTTATTGCAGTACCCAAAATGATGTTACAAAAAATGTCTAAAATTATTCCTAATTAGAATGAAGCAGTGTTTGCAGTGCATGTATTTTTGGTTTATGGCACAAGCTCTGTCAAGGTCATCCAGAAGTCGTGAGATTTATGAATTCATCTAAGCCATGCATCAACCCTGGGCAACAAATCAATCAAACAGTTGTTAATTGAGGCCCCTCCCTAGTGCTGCTTGTGTATCAGAGTCAATTGAGTCATGCTGTTCAGGGCAAGGTTTTGTGGTCAAGTGGTTTACTTGTCTAAACTAGTAAACAGGAGGTTGCCAGTTGAAGTGGAGCCAAGAAATTTTGTGGCCTTTTCTTTTCACATGCTCTTAGAAAAAGCCCCAAGCTGACATTGCTAGCACTGCCTACACTTTCAACATTTTCATTTGTGAATAACACAAATGTGTCGAAATTGATTTCATTATTGTTCGAGATTTAGTCCGGGGATTGTGTAGTTTGTAGCGTTTTGTCTGCGGGAGGGCATGCCCTGCTTTTTTTTGCAGGGGTGAGTCACCAAGTCACGGAAAGGGGGTCGATGGTGTGTCTGTAATCCATTCCTGTTTCGGCCCGGTACTTGGCGTCGGTCCTGATTATGCGTAAATTAGCCGGTAATCACCGCAAACGCGATGCCACTCACTACCTGACAACAAACAGTGCCGCGACTCGTTACCGGGATTAGTTGGGATTGTGAGGTGGGGGTTGGGGGGGGGGGATGGGGAGGGGGGGGGGGGAGTTCGAGATTGAGATGGGTTGGATTGGGTGTGTAAAAGAGTCTTGAATGAGCCTTTGAGAGTCAGTTCTGTTAGTGTGTCAGGCTTGTACATGTAGTTCCTTCGTCAAGTCGGCAGACCGGATGACAACTCCTTTGCAATCTGACAAGGCACTGAGTTGATCATTTGCCAGGGCGACAGACTGAGCACCTGGAGTGGAATTGATTCAGTTTCTTGTTTTGTTGTTTTCCTTTTCCCTCCTGTGTTCAATCGAAGAGCCTCCTAGGTTCTTGCACTTTTGGTTGTGGATTGCATGCAGCCACTGCACTGTTCATTACACGTGTCTACTCAAGTCTCTTGAGTAGTGTAATTCCATTCAAGACATGATAATGTACTTCAGAACTTCAAAGTGGCTTCGCATGTGTCCATAATGGTTATCACACTGTTAAATATGGAAATGTTTATCGTATTGTGTAATTTTAATGTGGTGTAATTGCTTTAAGTTTTAATGTGAAAAGAAAAAGTGACTTGCTGAAAGGTTTTTTTTGTTTTGTTGTTTTTTCCTTTCTTTTTTAATTTTTATTTATTAAGTTATTGATTTTGTTCAGTTATGCATTGTATGAACCTACTGAGTGGGTTTATAAAAAAATAAGGGTTTTAAAAAAACATATTTGATATGTATAAATGTATATATTTTTTTATGATGGGGTTGAATAGATAAGAGAATGTTTTTGTAATGAAAGAAAACTGATAACTGTTGACCTCAATACAAGCAAAGTCAACACAATTTCCAATTTTACTGGGTTGCCGAAGGTCATTGACTGTTCCAGTAGCATCCATGTGTCTGGCCAATGCTTCGCTGAGCACACATTGCTGCCTCTGAGCAACCAGCCTCCTTTGCCGTGAGGCTAGTACAGCTGCATCAACAGATATGGCATGCCTGGTCTAGCACTCGGGGCCTTTTTTGTGATGTTGTGTTTAGTTTTGGGTGTTTCTTTTTAAGGAAGTTAAGTCATTTGTCTGGGCTTAGTGAGCTGAGCTTGATAATGTTGGAATAGTCAGAATCTGGTTCGGGTTGAGTTGGAAATGGAGTGCAGTGTTGTCCATTACACAACACCTGAGTGAATCCCCGTCATCTGATTGGTGGGTCGTTGATCACATGTCGTTGAAGTATTGGCCCCAACCCACGGCCCGGTTGCGCCGCAAAAATAGAAGATCTGTTCCACGGTAAATAGAAGTTCCATTGCGCGGCCAGACTATTGGTGGCTCTGACCAATCAGATAATGGGTTTTTTTTTTTTTTTTTATAACTTACAGACATGCAGGATTCTCTTGGATTAGCTGATTTCCTTGTTTTTCATTTCCAAATATGCCTTTAAATTTAAAAGACCTATTAAAGAAAGTCTTGCGACGCGTAGAATTTCCGCATTTGTGGTGAATTTTCCAGTTGTATGTGGGAACTAATGATTATAATTTTGTTAAAATATTATTCCAAGACATTTTTCAAATTATGTTTTTGTTTTTTGTTTTTTTGCTTTTCCTTTCTTTTGCCTTTTCCTTGGTAGTCGGCTGATCCTGAGGAGAGGGCCAGACGGGAACGAGAGGAGAAGGAACTGGAGTGGCAGAGACTCCAACGCGACAAGGAGATGAAGCTACAGCAGCAGCAACGAGAGAGGGAGCTGGAGAGGAGGCTACAGCCTGAAAAAGGACAGGTTGGTGCTCTTGCTTTACATTGTGTCCATCCTGCCATTAGCCTTGTTTCAAGACTCTGAGTTGGTATACTGTGGGCCTATTGTCTTGGAACTCCCAGGTTTCACACAATGCTCGGCCTAAATTTTTTGTGCTGCCCTTAAGTTGATTATGCACGAAACATTTTTTGAAAAGCAAAACGACATACGATGTAGTATGTGCCTTCATCCCATGTTTTTTTGTCAGTTCCTTGTTGCTGTTCTTTGGCATTAAGAAACATTTTCTGCCTGATTGCTCTATGCTTGGTTCTCGGGAGGGAAACTGTTACCACATCCCCCAACCACATCTACACAAGTTGCCTTGCCTCAGATCGCTTGATTTTTGTTCAGACTCAAGTGTACTTTGACCCTCAGAGGAGGCACTTTCTGAGCTCGTGATAACCAACCAGAGACCAAGTCTACCTTTCACAAGAGTTTTGCCTCTCTATTTCAACTTCAAAATTGTCCTTTAGCTCAGGCAATTCTGATAAATCTAAAAAGAAAGGAAAACACCTCTGCTTGTAGCATTTGTGCCATTTTTAATCTCCAGATTTATATTTCCAGTCATTGACGTCAATGAAGATGTATTTTGTTTCTTGTTCATTGTTCGTGTTTCAGTTCCAATTCCCCATTGTGTGTAATGTGTGCCACAGTACGTAGTCCATCAATCACGGCCTTGGTGAAACTGACGTCAAAATTCGACAAGCTGTGAAATACAAACCTTGCAAGTCAAACCTGTGTATGAACTCATGCCTGGGTGTGTCTCAAAAACCACACACAAAACAAAAATGCTCTGTAGTAAAACCTTAAGCAAAAAAGAAAAAAAATCTTCTCAATCTCCCCAGCCACCGCAGAAAAAAAAAATGATATCCTCTGCCCCATTATCCTGTGACGCATGTTGGAAGTCTGGATGGAACCGACTGGACCCGAGGGGGTTAGAACTCGAGTAATAGGTGGCCCCAAGTCTGAAGGACCTGTCTGAAATGTGATCATGCCTGCTCCCCTGCATTCCCCTGCCAGCCACCCCTATAAATGTACAAGTAGTGCATGGTTCAGGCTGCCCTGTGTCAGTATGACATTTGAGATCGGGAGAGAAATTAATGTTTTGAGATAGATTAATGTGGTCTCGTGTTGAATTCATTGCCTATCCACAGTTTCCATTATCGTGGTGTGATCCAGTTTTTCGGTTTTTCATGTTTCTCACTCCCTTGTGCTTTTCAAGTCAATATTTTGCCCCTTGACATTCTTCTCTGGGATGTTAACAGTCCACAACATGTTCGGTTCCCAACTTGCAACAGGGTTTACACTAAGGTGTAGTCATGATGAATAATGTTGCATAGGAGAGGTGTTGATAACCTCAGACTGCACTATCATGAAGTGCATTTGGGGACAAAAATAGTTGAGAAAATGTCGGAAACAATTTCCACTTTTGTAAGTAATTTTGTAAGGCAGCAGTTTTAATGGCATTCTAATGACTGACAGTTAACCATTTTCAGCCATGTTGTTCTTTTGTTTATAACTAAAGCAATTTTTAAGTGAAGGCAGTAAAAAAAAAAAGCTTGTAAGAACTTACTAGGGTAATCATGAAGATGTTTTCGCTACCTATTGTCAGTCTGTCTGTTATGAAACTTGACTGGTTTCATAATTTGTCCTAAATGTCAACGAGCAGAAAGTGTACAATTTTATGTGTGTTTGCGTGGTTTCACAAACCCAGTTCCAGTTTTCCCAGAGGCGTATTGATTTCTCCCTCATGAAAACAAGTTGAATTCAGGGCAGAAATGAAATTGTCTCGCCGGTGTAACAAAAGAAGGAGCGGGATTCGGAGAGTAAAGAATGCGAATGTTTGGGAGTGCAAATCAGAAGCTTTCAGAGTGTGTGTGAGGAGATTTGAGAGGTATTTTAAAAAACAATATGTTTTTCTGGAAGGAGAAGGAGGCATGTTAATAGACCTAGAATTGACATGAATTGAGGGGGTGGTATGTGACATGTTCATCCATCACGGGCTGGGTTATCTGTCTGTTCTCATTTTGCCGGGGAGTAGAGACACAAGGGGGGAAATGATAACTAGGGCATATAATGATGATGGATGGATTGCGTCCTGCCGAAAGATAGGAAAAGGTCTTCCTGTAATGTTGTGAAATTGGGTCATTCATGTTGATCAGCACACTGGCAGTGTTGTCGTTGTAGGGGTTGTATAGTGACCTCGGGGGTATCTCTTTTGAAGTAACTGAAGGAAAAATACAAAACATGATCTTGTGTCTTACAGATCGGCATGTAATCTGCTAAATAAACGGGTTGGCATAAGCAGGCATGCAAGTTTTCCTTGGATCAGCTGATTTCCTCGTTTTTCATTTCACACTTACGCCAATAAAAATTGAAAAACACTGTGGAAAGTTTTGCAAAGATTGGAGTTTCCTCTTTTATTTGTGGCTACTTCCAGGTTGCATGCCATCATGAAGAAGTATTTGAAATTACCGGAGCACACTAGTTTAAAAATGTTGATAAGACCTCAGTTCCTCAATTTAGGAACTGTTGGATTTCAGAGATAATTACAATTGTTAGTTTTTCATAAACTTGATACCGATAATTTGATTCTGCATAGCATCACTTCTCATCCAAAACCATTGGGATATGAGGGGGTAGTGTTTCTAATACACCCAAGGTAATGCAGAAAAGCAGTTTTGGTTTGGGGAATATTTTCTGTCAATGCTACCTTTGAACTCTGGACAGATAAGAAGGAAATCTAACGCTTGACAGCAAAGGCTCCCAACAGTGCCAAGAGACATTAACAATTCATGTCCTTGCCAAATGAGAATTTGTCAGCTCTGCAGTCTGTCATGTTCATGATAGACTACCAGCCAGGCTATGAAACAAGGCCCCAGGTGGGAGCGGTGAAGGTCATGACCTTTCAACACTGTTGGCTGTTAATATTGGCTCATTGAACTCTTCAAGGGTGGTGCAGCTATTGCAGACGAAATGAGATGAAACCAGGAACATTGTGCCAGTGATAAGAACATATTCTGCTGTTACCAAAAAAAACAGTAAATTGTTTGAAATTTCACAAAATTTCAAAATCAGTTTCACCCCCACACACACACGCACCCTTACACAGGCATAGAAGTGGGGTACTTCCTTTGTTCTTGTGTACTAAAATTGTGCAATGTTGCGCACTAATTTCAAAATGCTCTTATTTTAACCAGAATTTATTTCCTGGGCTGAAATTTGGACTTAATATCCCTTTTCTAAAACTCTTCCATTTGCGACGGATCAACCCACCTTGGAAATTCCTAGTTTTTGAGTAAAATCCATATATCTATTTTGTGAAAAACTTGTGGGGTACCAAAACGGTACAGTGGGCATTCCTTGTGGGGTACCTCCCATTGTTCCGGTACCCCATAAGGCAGTGTTTATACGTTCACGCATCTTTGTAAACACCAGCAATCCTGGAACCCCTATTGTCCCTAATCCTCATTCCTTTGTTTGTACTTTTTAGCAACAGCTCTCATTGTTCACAAATTTCAGTCGGGGACTATCGGTCAATCGTGGACGTATTGTTTGTGCCCTAACCCTTTTGTCCTAGGTTCACGATTGGCGGTGTTAACATACTCACAAAATTCAAAGGTTGTTTTGATAAATCCCCCCCCCCCCCAAAAAAACCCCACAAAATCACCAGGTTCTTGTTCGGTTCCTGGATGAAGCAACTGTTCAGTTTCTCCACTGCCAATTCTACTGTACAAGAGTCAACATTTAAAATGCAATTTGATGCTGATAGCCCAACCAACGCTTGAAATTTAATCAATTCCGTTTAATTGCTTGCCCATTAAGTCCCCACTTATTTCCTTTTTCTGGCCCACGCATGGGAAAGGAGAGACTTCAAAAAATTCCCAAATCAACACTTCAGACCGGCTCTCTTGAGCCGATTAGATTAAATGCCAGCCACTTAGAGCTGGCTAGACACCCAGGCTTGGCCAGAGAGGGCCCATTGACTACTCCAACTACAGAGACCATGAGGGACTGGTATGCTGTAGATTAGCCAGACAGACAGGGCTTGAAGTGGCTGGAATGCCTAGGGGGAAGGATACTGCTGGGGCTGCTTCAGGTTATGCCCCTGGGAAAGTTAAGACTGGTCTTGTTGCACACATCGTGGGCAAGTTCATTGGCATTAGGCTGAAATGGATGGTGTGATTTGTACACCTTACATGATGAGCGCTGATTCAGTTTGGCAGATACTTTGTCTGGAAACTAAACAGGGGAAAGCACCTTCATTTTAGTTTATTTACCTAACTCCAGTTAAAGTGCAGTGACATACAATTCAAAGTTTACAATAATCAAGCAATGCAAATGTCAGTGTGATTTACATGGCACGATTTTACACGGCGCTTTTAGTTTCATGCCAGTGAGCGTGTAACATTGCCAATGTTGTTTCTGAGCAAGTTAGATAAACAGAAATCATTCCTTGGCCGTTTCCTGGATTGAGTGTAAATGTTGTGCCCTGTCCTGTTTTTTCTACCGTTGTCTTGTGGACAAAGGGGGTCCCCTCTGAGGGAGATTGTTGCAGCTGTCTTTTGGCAGACGGAGCAACTTGCACCTCTCCCTGTCACCTTTCACATTGGCGCCTGGCGGGATTTTACAATCAATACTATTTCACTTCAGTGTGAGGAGCGAGGTCGTCTGTACTGTGTTCTTGGTGCAAACAAAATGCTTTGCTAGGTGTATTCATGTTGCATTACAGTGTGAGGGGTAGAACTAGGATGACAATAGTAAAGTTTTTGTGATTATTTTTGTCAGTTAATGTAAATTTATACTCTCTCTTTGCAGAAGTTGAGATTGTTGTGCCATCTCCATGCAAATAGTCAACACTTAGTTTGTCTAGCTAACTCCCCTTTCAAGCTAGCCAGCCCAGAATGACTAACAAAGGCAAAAATGAAAACAAAGGACATTTTTTTTGTCCATGAGCGGTAGGGCTGCCGACACCTGATACACAGGCACTCAACCCCACACACTGGGCCCATTGCCCCCTGAATCCGCCGCGCATGCATCGCATTACCGGCCCCCCGTGCATTATTCATGTCACATACTGCCCCAGCAAATTGATAGGAACATAGCGATCATGTTACCGTCTCATTACCAATTGACATTGGTAATCCACACGCTGTGATTTCAGCTGAAAGGAGAGCCCTGCCGCTGAGTCTCATGTTTCAGCGTGCTCTGCCTTAGCCGCCCCTCCTCTGAATCATACATGAAGTCCAGCCGTTGTCTCCCAGACAGAATGAATGTTAAGCTGTTCTTGTGGCAGTCCTTGTGCATACTTCGGCATTGATTGACTGTGTGCAGTGATATGTGTATGGATTAATGAGTCATTGGGGGAAGTGTGTCTGAGTGCTTGTCGGGATATTTATTGGATCCTTTACTTCAGGCTGAACATGCTCGCTTTTATGAGTAGTCATGAGACCGATTTATGTTTCTCTTTGTTTTTATAACTTGCAGCACTCCTTGAGTCAGATGGAGAGAGATCGTTACCTCAAGATGCACTCGTCTGGTGAGCAAGCCCGCATCCATGAAGACCGGCTGTACCGGAAGGGCTATCTTGGCCAGACCTCGGAGAGTGAACGTCTGCAGAGGCATGAGAAAGACCATGCAACAACTGCCGAACTCATGAAACTGAAAACAGAAGAGAGTCGAATCAGAGAAGGCCATGGCTTCAAGGTCTACCATCCCGCACCCAAGCCCGACGGCCACATAGCGTATTATGGCACAGTGCCGGCAAGATATGAGGACTCCCGCTCTGGGGTACCAGTGAGGACTGAACAGTCCAAACACATGCCTGCCTTCCACATCAAGAGTGAACCTCCAACTGGTTATCAGCCGTTCAGGCATGCCATACCCAGCAGTCACCCAGAAAATGCTGGCCTTGAAGGAGACTCATCAGCTGACGACAGCAAACCCAATATTGCATTCTTAACTAGAACTGCTGACCCTCTCAGGACAGGTAGTATAACCGCTGGAATACCCATCAAAGCGGTGGGTGCATCCCGCAAGGATATCCCCACGCCTCCACCTCTCCGCAGAGACCCGGAACCTGGCAAAGCAGGAGAGGCAGCACCGCTAACCTGCGCTATTCAGAGCAGGGATAACCTGGGACATCAACCGATGTACACAGTTGCTGGGGGCTCCTCCCAACATCCTTCATTGCAGTCTGGCAAATCAGCCTACGCGAAAGATGCTGTGGATCTGCGAGTTGGTGACAGTGCTCACAATGTGCCCGTCATTGTGCACAGTTCCATCGGCAAGCCTCCACCCCTGCAGGGCCAGTCGGTTCAGAGCTTAGCAAACACGAATCGCAGCACTGGCCTGCAGCCGCAGTCACCACTACGTGTGGCCACTCCACAGCAGCTCTCTGCTGCTGCCTTGCAGTCCTTTGAGTTGCAGAAATCTGGGAAGTCGCCATCGGGGTATCCCCAATCCACAACCCATTCCCCTTTTTCCCTGCAGTCGGGGCACACTTCCCTTCTCATGTCTGCCTTAAGACCGAATGACACCAGTCGGCCAAGTGATTATCCATCTCCAATGGATTCATCCAGAAGTACGGATGTGCCATCCACAAAACGCAAATCCGGTGGATCAGGTGGGGCAACAAAGCGCAAGCATCCCAAGGTCAAAGGAAAGCACCCAGAAGCATGTGATGAGGCAGGTTCTGCCTTGAACTCAAACACTGATGACAGGAAACCCAGCGGGGCTTTCTTTGCTGAGACCTACAAATCCTTTGCCAATGATGCACGCAACAGTCAGATCACAGGCGGGTCTGCCCCTGAAACCTTCAGTAGGGAGACCAGGAACAATGAGAATGTTGAACTCAAAATTGAGAAAGTGGACCAGTACCGACTGGGTCTTGACCCGTCTGGTTCTATGCCTATGTTCAGTGATCGGATTAACAATGGAGCTATGTCAGACAGCGATAGTACACGATCCTGCTCCCCAAAGGCCACAGGCAGTGAGTCGTCCGACAGCCGCAGCGTCAAGACAGCCTCGCCCAACCGATCTGGTGGTCACGTAAACCTGAAGAAGGCATGGCTCCAACGTCACAATACCTCCTCAGTCATCCCGTCCAGTGGCACAACCAGTACTCTAACAGAGCGCAAACTGTATGAGCTTGGTGTCAAAACACCCAACAGTGACTCTTTAAAACTGCTGGAATCCCAGTCCAAGGAGAGGCTTGCCCAGGCCATCCCCAATGGCCACATGCAACAGGCAGCAGGCTACCTCAACAGCAGTCGAGGTGGGGACAGTAAGCCCCTCAGTGCCGTCACCCTCGCAGACATTCCAAAGAGCAGCGTTCCGGACCACGTCTATGACTTTGACAACTCGTCCACGTGCTCGGACAGCTCCACTACCTCCAAGAGCCGCAGCAAGCGTGGCCGAGAGTCCAAACACTCCAAGAAACACCGGGACCGGAAAAGACGCTGCGGCTCCAGCGACAGAAAGAGCAAACACCACAATGACAGCAGCAAGGAGCTTGCTAAAGGACGGGGCAGTGTGGTCCCTGACAAACAAACTGCCGAGGATAATGATTACGATGGATACAAAAACTTCAGTGTTCACAGTGTTCATTCAGAAGGAGACAGAACAACAGAATTCAAGGTAAGATAACGCGTCTTCAAAACTTTCAAAGATTAAACAAATGGGAGACCATTTGAAAGAACATTTTCCTTCACATTGTGTACTAATAGCCCCGTAAACTAAGCAGTCTCAACATAGTGACAGTTATCTACTCTCTCAGGAGTAGCACACGGCCCTGATTTAATTCTGTTCTTAGGTTTTCTATTTAGTACCACTAGTTGGAGAAACACAATGCAACATTGTGTATGTCAACCCTGAATGCCCCAGCCAACCGTGAAAATGAGCTTTGCCTTTACAAATAAATGAAGTCCAAATATGAAATACGAGTGTCCTGAAATTCACACAATCAGCTATGTAGCTGTAAGCCTTACTCATTATGTCACATGAACACACATAGGGCAACCCTATTTGAAGCTCAATTAGAGATTCACAAAAGCCAACCGAGCCACTGCGGGAAAGAAAAACTTTCATTTCATGGACCATGGATGTGTGTGTCATGAATACCTTTCTTCCTATCCGGAGCGGATCATTCCATGATAACTTGTATTTCACAAGGCAGCTCGGCCACATAGCAGGCAACCAGGAGAAGTCTCGTTAAAGTTCAATTCAGCAATGGGGGCTAATCTCTCAGCACCCAGAGCGAACTGACCTGGTTTGATTTCCCCGAGGTGATAAGTGGATGTGTCCCACTGAAAAAAAAAAAAAAATGGGAAGGGAAGCTGGCCGCAGACTGTTCTCATTACTGGGCCAGGAATTTGATAGATTGGCTCCCTGACCCATTTTTATTCCAATTTATTTTTGGCCTTGTGGATGTATTTATGGGACCAAGAAAACCTGGTGTTATTTTTCGGCGGAATTATCTGAATGCCGTAGAGATTTTGAAAAAAACCTATGCCTTTTTTTTAAATAGTGTCAAGGAAGCCGAGTCCTTTTTTGTTTTTTATGGAAGTTGGCAGCAAAAAAAAAAATCTTAGATGGTGCCAAGTCCCACATACTTAAGCTGACAAGGATATCCTATCCCAAGTGTGAGGATCAAAATGTGTGATAAGGCCTTGGGAGTTGTAGTGAGTCAATCGCAAGTCAATCACAAGTCCAATTTACAAGTCGGGTCATGAGTACCAGGGGAGGATGATTAGCGACAAAGAATTGCCTTTGTCATAGGTCGTTACTTGACTTGAGACAGGATATTCTGGGCCCCATCTGTGGAACAAGCTCCCTCAAGAGATCCGCCAATCTGACTCAGTGACAACATTTAGGAAGCATTTGAAGACAGAACTATTGTTCTACTTTTTTGGTCAAGCGCCTTGATCTAGCTTTGTTTAGGATATGTGCGCTTAATAAGAACCCGCTATTAATATTAGTAGTAGTAGTAGTATTATACGTGTAATGGTAACATTAAGGAGACACGTTATCGTAATTTCTTCACACAATGGGAGACTTCGGTCATTTTCATGTCTCCCTAATGTCACAGCCCCCCCCCCCCCCCCCCCTTTAGAGGCAAAATTTTACCGTCGCAATTATATTGTATTTGTTGCTCATGGTCTAATTATTAAACATACCGAAATTCGTGGAAAAAGGACAAGGGAATATTGGGTTAGGGCACATTTAATGTCACAGCCCCCCCCCCCCCTTCAGAGGCAAAATTTTGCTGTCGCAATTAGATTATATTTGTTGCTCATGGTCTAATTATTAAACATACCGAAATTCGTGGAAAAAGGACAAGGGAATATTGGGTTAGGGCACATTTAATGTCACAGCCCCCCCCCCCCCCCCCCCTTCAGAGGCAAAATTTTGCTGTCGCAGTTAGATTATATTTGTTGCTCATGGTCTAATTATTAAACATACCGAAATTCGTGGAAAAAGGACAAGGGAATATTGGGTTAGGGCACATTTAAGTCTATGGGGATGTCTCCCAAATGTCCAATCCAGGGTAATTTGTTATTATTAATATTATAACTTGTCATTGGCTCGTGATTGACTTTTGGGGACTCAAGGACAACTCCAATATTCTGGGTTAAAGCTACTTTTGTGGTTAATGGGGAATAATTTTTCCAACCGTTGTTTCAGATCTGTACCCGATTGTCTTTTCTTAGTCAGGGCAATTGTTGTGAGAGTCCATATGAAAATCAGCATTGCTGAGTCCGAAATTCATTTCTCTCTGGCACAGCTTGCTTGACTAAACTCTTCCGGGCGAAAAAATGATCTGGACCCCTTTATCCGTGATGTGCAGCAGCAAACCTTTAGCAACATTTAACCATTGTTCATATAAACATACGATTGTTAAATGATGACCATCAATCATGTTGTGCTTACGGTTTCTGCTTTCTCTCTCTCTATGTAGTCTCAGATACCAGCCGTCATGGACCGGTTGATTCTGGCTCCCAAGAAACGCATAGTCACCCGGGCACGCAAGGAGAAGGATAAGTTTGATGGTAAGTGCCTTTGTGATCTGAATGTTCGCATTCCTCAAATGAGTCGCAACAAAACGTCCTGGACAAATTATGATTGATAAATCAGCCATCTATGCATTTACCATAGTCCGGATCTTTCAAAATCCACCAAGAGATTTTGGAGGATTTTTCAAAATTGAGGAAGGTACAGCCCAGTCGATTTTACTGGATGCCCCTCTGAATTTGTTTTGGGTTCCTGCATGGCGTTGGATTTTGGAGGATTCAGGAAGGTTCTTTGCCGAACTGCATGTAGAGTTGCGCTAACTCCTACCCTCCCAGATCTTTCAAAATCCACCAGGACATTTAAATGATGTTTTCCAGGATTGAGGAAGGTTGAACCCAGTCACCATTACTTTATGTGGGGCTTGCTGCCTGCAGAAGAGTACAAAGAATGTGCATTGGTTTGCTGCACAGTGGTGGAATTTGGAGGATCGAGGAAGGTTCTTAGCAGAATGGTTGATGCGTGTATAGCTTGTTTTGAGAGTATTGCTTTTATCTTATTGTGTTGATGACCTTTTGTCCACAGCACTGAATGTGAGCCGTGCCCTGGTCAAGCCCTCCGTCTCCAAGCTCAAGAAGACCGGTGAGCCCTTCCTGCAAGACGGGGCCTGCTGCGACGTCACCCCAAGCCTGATGAAATGCCGCGAGTGCCGCATGAAGCCCAGCTCCAGACACTCCAAGATGAACATCTTCTGCCGCTTCTATGCATTCAGGAGGTGAGATGCTCATGTTAGTGTGTGCCTCTCTCGCTCACAGAAAAACTGGTCGGAGAGCCTCCAGCACAGCGACTAAAGACTGTAAACTCACTGTTGAGCAAAGTATGAACCTCGGCCAAAATGTTACTCTGTTGAATTGATTTTGATTGTTTGATTCCACACAATAGTTGCAACCCAGATTTCCAAAAGGTAGTTTTGTTAACCCTTGGTTAGTAACTCCTGGTTCACAAAACCCTTGTTTAACATCCTGGTCACCAAAAAAGATTTGTGGTTTCCTAACCCTGATTTGATAATTTTGTCTAAAAAGCCAGTTTGGAAACTGTAGATCATGCAATTGCCTTCTTACTGGCCGAGGTGCCCCACAAAAAATCCCCGTCTTCACAGCCACTAGATAATTATTTCCAGTTCCCTGAACCCTGGTATGATGATCTCAGATATTAAACAAGTCTGACGACCATTTCTAACAAGTTGAATTTGGTATTTGATCAGGAAGTTTAATTTTGTGTGTGATTTGGTCCCTATCCTCACAGACTGCGGTACTCCAAGAACGGCAACTTGACCATCGCCGGTTTCTCTGAGCCCAGCCACTGCCAGCCAGAGGATCTGACGCCATGGTTGCCGTATCCGCCGGACCCTGACTGCCAGCTGGATGTGGAGACATCCAAGTACATCCTGAAGAAGGTTGGGGACCAGTTCTGTGAGCTGGTAGAGCAGGAACACCAGGCTAAGTCCTGGAGCATCGCACCAGGTTCGTTGAAATCTTTTCTATATATCATTAAGTATAAGACAAACTATGATGTCATTTGAAATAGCATTTTACTTTGTTTCTTCCGAAAACTGAAAAACTTGACAGAGATTGTCAGATAGTACCTCCACGTACCTTCCGTGTTCTGATACTTTCAGAATGCCAGCCCGACCCCAGTCAATGGAGCTGATAATAAGAAAACAGCGCTTACTCAATTCATGTGCCAAGTGAAAATTTAGCTGTGATTATGAAGTCTGTCACAAGCCAATGTGGCCCATCAGGCCGGCATTTATCTCCACTTTCAGTAGCATGAAATGACTGAGAATATTTCTACTCCCCCTGGATGGAGTGCTAGTCCATCGCAGGTTACTCCCCAGCTAATGCCGGTACCCATTTATACTCCTGGGTGGAGAGAGGCAAGTGGGGATGAAGTGGCTTGCCCAAGGACACAACTTATAGCCAGCAGCTGGATTCGAACCCCTGACCCTCTGATCATGAGTCACAAATCCTAACCACTAGGCCACACTCCGGCACTAGCTGTGAACATGCATTGGATTGTTTGGCAGGTTTCCTGTAATAGCTTTGCAAAATTTCCTATATGTGGCAAATTTCTGTGCGTAGTAGCTCTATGAAATTGGTCCCAATTTTTTTTTATTTGATGTGTCTTTCTGAAATATCTCCTGGCACCTCCCGATCTTCTTATTTCGTCAGCACCGTTTTTCATCGATGTGTGTTTTGGTCCCTGTCTTTTCAGGTAAAATTGCCTGGAAGAGGGCAGTAACAGGTGTGCGGGAGATGTGTGACACTTGCGACACGACGCTGTTCAACATTCACTGGACCTGTTCTAAATGTGGCTTCGTGGTCTGCCTCGATTGCTACAAGCAGAAGCACCCTAATCCTAAAGGTACCTAATGTCATATCACTACTACAAATAGGGAGCAGGCTTGCATTGCACAAATATTTATGGACGGTGCAATATTTTAAACCTTTTCTCAAAAATATGACACGGAGAAACAATCACCGGGCTTAGTTTGACTCTGTGGCAGTGAGAAATATCGGCTGGATGCTACCGGTAGTAGGGTATCAAGGAAATTATTTCTTTAGTCAGAGTTTGGCATTTATGGTTGCATACTGCTTGCTCTAAATTTGAATAAATGGAAACAAAATCCTGGGATGCATTAACCAAAAGGTACATGTACTGCATTGTACTACATTGAGTTTATTCCATGATAAACACATAAACCCCGTAAAGTGCTCAGGCATGCAACTTTTTCTTGGATCGGTTTATGCCCTGCCTTTTTAAATTCCCTTGTCTGCAATAAAAAAAAATGAAAAGCACTGTACAAGATCTTCTGAAGTCTTGGATTTTCCTCTTTTTTGTAGCTTTGCAGTTGCGTGCCTGAGTGCCTGGGCAGTTTGGGGCAGTACAGGTTGTAACAGGCAGGGTGATTTGGGGCAGTACAAGGACTCCTGGGTTCAAAGAATTTTCATTTTTACTCATTTTTACAATTTGTCTCATTTGTCTCAGCCAAACACAAGATGAAGCCTGGACTGGCTTGGCTCAAATGCATCAAGGATCAACCTCACCAACCAGACAGCCTCATACTCACACAGATCATCCCTGGATCGGGTAAGAAAATCATCACCATCATCATCATCTGTTTGTCTGTTGGGCTGGTTGTCTGTTTGTTTCTCTTGATTTTTTTATTCCTTGTCAGAAATTATGGTTAACATAAATTGTTAACTGGATTGAACTGTGTTGTTAGGTGTGCCACTCTTGTGGAAAAGCAGACACATGTGCCTAGATCAGCAATGCCATTGGGCAAATGTAGGCAGTTCACAGAGCAGAAAATGCTTGTGTTATGTAGTTAACCTGACTAAGGTTCCAAGATTTCCAAGTTCTGGGGCTTCTGTTTGTTGCAGTGCATGATTTGTGAATTGTCCTCCAGAGACAGTGTTTATCTAATTGTTTTGTGTTTTTAATTTCTATCCTCAGCACTCTGGGACGTGGGTATGTTGGTTCACCAGATGCGGACCAAGTGGAACATTGCCGCCTCATGCCCCTGCAGCAAGAGAGCCCTCAACAATTCACCCGACAAAGTGCCTGCCATCAATGGCCTCTCACCAGTAAGTTAGACCTTACTTGCATCAACTAACCGAGAGAAACAGTTTAGTAACAAGTGATCAAATTACTTATCCATCCATTTTTGTTCTGAGTTTTGCAAGGGGTGTCAGTGTATTCTTCGTGTCCATGCAACAAGGTCGTATCTCCCAAAATGGGCCGTACCTGAAACGCGAGTTTCAAGTTTCAGAATGTCAAAAGCTCGTATCTCGCTTAAAATAACCCGCATGTACATACAAAGTCAATGAACATCGAGATAAGACCTTGTTGCACGGAGCATATTTGCGCAAGATACGACTTTAATGCAGAATGGAATTACGACCTTGTTGCACTGACTTGACGTATTGTACTTGTGTTAAGTTACACAAAAAGCAAATGGATTTCTTTTTGTAGCTGAATCTCAGATCTTAGACCAGATAAAGGAAGTTTGGAATCCCAGGTTGAATGTTCAAGATGATGAAAACAATTTGATTTCTATTTATTGCAAGTGTATTCTGTGCGATATGCTGAGTGTCGGGTGTTGTCCCAAAGACTTGAAGCCCATAATATTTCAAATGCTTCACTACTTCGTTTTTCAGGTCTTACTTAATGATAAGACACCCAGTGAATCCGGCAAGACTGAGCCCAGTGATTCAGGCCACTCCACGCCCGTAAACAGCAACTCGAGGAGTCCCAAGGCTCCCAAGCTGACCTCCTTCCCCTCGGCGTCTCCCCTGGACGTCTTAGCCAACGTGGCCTCCTCCGCCCAGTCTGAGAGCACTAACCGCTTCACAAACTCCTCACCCAAATCCTATGAGCTGTCTGTGCCGGACACCAAGGCGGGCACCCTGACCACAGACAAAGTCACGCGTTCTGACGCCGAGTCGGCCAAGAGCGAGAGCTGCTCCAAGCTGCGGGAGCTCCTGACCAAGACCGCGGGTAAACTTGGACGTCCGACGGGAGGCATGGATGGCTCAGCGTACCTCATGACAGCGTTCCTCCCAAAAGGCGACAACGCCAACAAGAAGTCCACTCGCACCATGACCAGTACCTTCGAAGACATCATCGCAACAGTTGTGGAACAGAACATTTCGGCGCCGGCGCTGAACAAGCACGATCGGGGTTCTGTCAAGACACCCACCCGGCCAGCCAGCCAGCAGACGATGGCCATCGATCTACCACCAAGCATTTACACCAATCCGTCCCAAAAGCCAGACTCGCCTACCACGGTCAGCGTGAATGCCATCGGTGAGGCCGTGCTGCCGCATGTCAGACAGACCTTGACCGAGTCCAGCGTGGAATATCCTGACGTGCCTCATTCCTGGCTGTGTGATGGCAGGTTGTTGAGGCTGCATGATTCCTCGCACAAGGGTAACTTTAGAATCTTCCAAGGGCAATGGAGAAGAGGAGCAGTGAGTATCTGTATTTATAACATTCCTAACAAAACCACCTTGATGATAACAGGCAGTCATGATTTCAGCCACAAAGATTAGCTTAGGAGCAATTCTGAATTAATTGAGTTGGTAAGAAGAATAAGCATATTATGTGTAGATGCCAAACTCAAATTTCTTGTAAATCCTTTCATTCATCTACAAAAAAAATGCAAAACGTTCATGCTTTTCAGTTAGATTTGGAGACTTGGGAAAGAAAGCTGCTGACATGTTAACCCTTTGTCGCGCCAGTTGTTATGTTCTAACTTTTGTTTTTCCACTTTCTATAGCCCGTGTTGGTAAGCGGTGTCCGCAGGCTGCTGGACGAGATACTCTGGCATCCCACTTTCTTCAACCAGAAATTTGGGGAACTAGCCAACGACCTGGTTGATTGCAGCACAGGCAGTGTCATCCAGGGAGCGCCCATGAAAGACTTCTGGGACGGCTTTGAGGATGTTCAAAGTGAGTTGAATGCCTTCTCTAACCTTCCCCCGTCCCTTCCACATCCCTACTTAATCAGCCGATGGCTTACTAATCTCTAAAGCTGCTTTGAAGAGTGTGCCAACCGTTGTCAAACACTCTCTAGGGTAGATGTTGTGATTTTAGAATGCTCTCTCAATCAGTCAATTGAAGAATCTGGATTAGTCTTTTGTCAATTTCTGTTCCTAATAAACCTAAATGACGTTGATGAGGACCTTCCAACTAGATACAGTTTTTGATAAGTACATCAAAACAATTTGAAAATGTGTGGAGCCTCTCTTTGTTAATTAAACAAAATAGCGAACACTTTATCGATGATTAAAAAATTGCTCTGCTTGTACATTTTTGTAGATCGCCTGGAGACAAAGCAAGGCCAGCCTCTGATCCTGAAGCTGAAGGACTGGCCTCCTGCCGAAGACTTCGCTGAGTTGCTCCCAGATCACTTCCAGGACCTGATGAAGAATCTCCCACTACCAGAGTACACACGCAGGGAGGGCCGTCTCAACATCTCAGCACGACTGCCCGATTTCTTTGTCAAGCCAGACCTGGGACCAAAGATGTACAATGCATATGGTAAGATTTCCTCATTAACCCTGACCTAGGAGACCCTTTAAAACCCAACGGAAGGTTGGGAGGATTTTGCTGCCTAGCCACTTAATACTACAGCGCACTCACTGCCCATTGAATGAGCCTTTGCTTTGTTGCACAGTGCATGACTTATTGCATATTCAGCCTGTGCATTTTTAGAACTACAAGATAACCATGCTTAAAATCAAGATAGTCCATCTTGTTGGTGAACGTATACAGAATTTCATCATCCAATTATCTGATGACCGATGTTGTGTTTATTACTTATCGTGGTTATTGATATGATGATCTGATTGTCTTCCAATCCAGGTCTTGCGTCTCGACCTAAAGAAGGCACCACCAACCTGCACCTAGACATCTCAGACGCGGTCAACGTCATGGTGTACGTGGGCGAAGACAAGCAGGGCCAGAACGGCAAGGTCAGTACCACCACCTGCGACCTCAGCCAGGACATCCTGGATGCTATCGACGAGGTCTGCCACGACGAACAGAGCAGGCAGCGGGTCAGGGAGACCGGGGAGCGACCGGGGGCCATCTGGCACCTGTTCCATGCCGACGATGCCGACAAGATCCGGGAGCTGCTGACCAAGGTGGCCAAGGAGCAAGGCCAGGAGGTGCCGGAGGATCACGACCCCATCCATGATCAGAGCTGGTACCTGAATGAGGTGATGCTGGATCGGCTGTACAAAGAGTACGGGGTGCAAGGCTGGCCTATCGTGCAGTGCATGGGAGATGCTATCTTCATCCCTGCTGGGGCGCCACATCAGGTACAGAAATTTACTAAGGCTTTTTTTGCCTTTTCACTGATGTAATTTCATATGCAATGTATCCTCTATGAACAACAGAATTCGGTTTGGGGTAACACCATGTGGTACTAACTACGGTCACTCAGTAGCTATTCAGTTCTGATAAGAACCTGTCCTGCGTAAGAACAGTCATGATAAGAACAGTCCTGATAAGAACACTCTCTTGACAATGACTACAGCAGGCTAGTCGAAACGTTGAGACCAAAGACAAGTTCTTTTAGAACTAAGCAGGACTGTTCTTAGCAGAACTAAAACTACTCAGCAAAAGTTGATAATAAGCAGGACAAGTTCTTATCAGAACTAAATATCTACTGAGCGACAGTAGTTATTACCACATGGTGTTACCGCAAACCAAAACGATACTGATACTCCACCATGCAAAGTCTAAAATCTTATAACAACAGATACTTCGTCGGGATGAAACAGTCCTGCACAATCATCTTGTTTCCCTAACAGTTTTGATTTATGTTGGTCTTCCCACCTCCCCCCCCCCCCCTTCTCCAGGTGAGAAATCTTTACTCTTGCATCAAAGTGGCCGAGGACTTTGTCTCTCCGGAGCACATTTCCCGGTGTTTCCAGCTGACCCAGGAGTTCCGACGTCTCAGCAACACCCACTCCAACCACGAGGACAAGCTCCAGATCAAGAACATCATCTTCCACGCCGTCAAGGACGCTGTGGGAGTCCTCATGAACCAGGAGAAGCAACTGCAAGCTATCGGCGACTCCCCACGGTGACAGGAATTGTAGGGAGTAGGCTTTGTTGCTGCATTCACAGGTTATTTGTCCTGGAGTGGGTGGTCCAGATATCCTCCAGGGTTGCAGATTTTAGTGCAGGGAATTGAATCCCATGGCTTTTCCCATCATTTCCCCTGAATGCCCTGGGATAGTCTGTGGCATATTTTCCTACGGGATACTTTTGAGGGATGGGATTGCTGTTTGTCCTTTTGAGTCATGACATTGTCCCCTGAAAACTTGTCACCATGCACTACTTTAACATGTTATTGGCCTTCATTGCCCATGAAAGCCAATGAGACATGTCTTAAAGCTAGGGAACTATGGACGAATATCCAACCCCTCCCCCCACCCTTTTTTTTTGAAAGAGGAAGAGTTTCTCTCAAACCAGACAGATTTGGGGAAAACTTATGGTCTACCTACACAAAGTAGTCTGGATTTCTTGTCTTTCAAGATGCGGCTTGTTTTTTTTTATTGATTGATGGAGAGACTTGCAGATTTGATTTGTTGGACCGTGGCTGTCTGGTAGCCATGGCGAAGGATGAAAATTGACTTCCTTGACTCACAAGTTGGAGGAATGAAGAAAACACATGAAATTTGTGGCTGATATGTGTGATCAAATAGAGGGGAGATTTCAATACATCACAGATCACCCATGTTTATCGCACTGAATAACAAAATTTTGCACAGACGTTTTTTTTCTGAGGCACAGGAACTGCCTGTGTTGACTACCATAAACATGAGTATTCTAGCATCTGCTTATAGCTGTTCTTACACGCACTATATTTGTATGGATATATGAATTCCTTTATACGATGATTGGAGGGAACACGGGACATCTGTTGAATGAGAAAATTACCTCAATTCTTGTTTGTTTTGGTTTTCATGTGGAGAGGGAGTTGATGTTGAGATCGATGTTAGTGGGAATTGTACTGAGAACTTTCATCAGATTTTCCCCAAAAAAACTTTTGTGCATTGTCAGTGAGCTTGCACTTTGAAGAGTTGAATTGTAAAATGTCATATTGATTGATTGAGAAAGTGTAAGTAGACGTTAATTGATTGCAGGTGGTTACATAATCCAGCTCTTGTTTTTTTTTTATCGGTTTCATTTGTGTGGTTTGTAGTTATTATTTTGGAAAGTGTGACACTCCACTTCTGTGTTTATATCAGATGTAGTTTGGTCAGTTCTTCTTTGCGCCAGAGAAAGATTCGCTCTCCTGGGAACATTTTCAACTTTGCTGTTTCTGCATTCACCATAGCTTTGATCTGTTTTGGTTTGGAAATAATATGGTCATAAGTCTTGAGTGTTGTGACTATCTGGGTTTTGTTGTTTGTTTTTGGATAGAAATGACTGGTGAAGAGTTTTTGAAGCACACTCGTGTTTTCCATTTGAATGGAGCATTCGGGGCATCTTGACCATTTGTTGGTCTGGCCTCGGTTTGAGCATCACGAGTTGAATAACACTGTTAAAAAGTGCAACTCAGATTTACAAATTTGTGTAAAGAATTGAGTTGAGACTCTAGCGAAACATGTCCTAGTCTCTTATTGTTTGAGCTTGATTGTAGTGCATTGGATGAGAACTTTTTCTAGTATTTTTTTGTTCTTGTAAAGTTGTGGCTCCTTGGTAGTGCTGAAGTTAAAAAGCTGAGAAAAAAACATACATTCCACTTTTGTTCCTTTTTTTTCTTCTGAACATGGTTTGCTATTACAGTATTGGCTGATTGTCCTGATGTCGGTGGAAACCTTGCATTATTAAATGTTTTGTGTTCATTAATTTATAGGCAGTTGTTTTGGTGAGATATTTGGTTCCCTCTCAATGTTGTGCTTCATTGTATTCCCTGAGTAGCAAATATGAAATGTTTGATATATTTAGGCCAAGCAATTTCGGAGAGTGATAAATTTATCCATTCATCTGACCTACTCTAATACTTTTTTTAAATCTATGTATAAGACTTTGTTTTGTTGTACATTTACACTGAGCCATATCTGTAATGTTTTTGCAAAGATTTCGCTTTCCAGAATAATAAACGATTTGAGACAAATTTATATTATTTGTGCACAATGGGAAGCCTTGTTTAGCCATTTGTAAGTGATTTCTCGTGACAGCGCAAAATAGTTGGCATTTGAGATTTAGCCGTAAACCCAATGCAAAGAAAGAGGGTTTGGTAAAGCTTGGGAAGCCATGAATTTATCCCTGTATGGTGAGCTCTTTCAGTAGCTTTGATGAAGATTGTTGGTGGAAGTGTGTACACATTTCCAGAAGAATTCCAGTTATTCAATGAAGTGTAAATTGTAATTTGATTGTAGCAAACAGTTCAAGCTGTGCTTGACTGGTTGTGGTTGAAATTGATCCTTTGGTTTTTTTTACTGCCTTAGCTGATTAAAACAAATCAAATAGATGAAATGATGAGAATTCTTAGAATGATAAACTGAAGACAAAGTTCAGTTTAAGTGCCCTTGGACAATTGTTTTTTCCTGTACAAATATTGTATATTATGAATGAAAATTGTGTGTAGTGTGTATGTACATGTACATTGATTTAATACCGTTTTTTTTAGTGATGGGAAAACAATTGTACAAACTCTAATGGCCATACATACATTGTTGTTTGTGTAGGATGGCACAGTAGGCTCACGGTCCCTTAGTAAGTAATGAATCGGTTGTCATAACTGGTGGTTTTTCTTTTTTGTTTATCTAGTGTGAACAGAGGGTTGAGCTGCGTGAGTTTGCCTTTATAGTGTTTGTACATGTAGCGAGTTCAACATAATGGATACATTTTTCTGGGATTAGTTATGACAAATGACAAAATACTGTGTCGTTTCACCTTGATCCGTGTCCGGCGTGCATGGCATTCTGGGTAATGCAGTGCATTCTGGGTGAAGTGAACTGGGTTTTTTTCTGATCCTTCATATCACTTGTGTAGCTGTGCTGTATATATGTCACATAGTGTTATTTTTATATGAAAGAAAAATAGATTAAGTCAGGCTATAAAACGAAGGGTGTGGATGCGGTTGGAGGTGTTCACCAACGCGAACCTCCATCCCCCCAAAAGGGCTTTGTACAGTTGAAAATATGTGAATACACGCACCCTATTTTATCAGAGATTAAAAAAAAATCAAAAAATCTAAAAACTATCTGTATGCATGGCTTGGCTTGCTAGAGCTCATTATTACTATTAAATTGTAAAATGAAGGAAAAAAATTATGAATCTTAAAATAAATTTTGTCTTGTCTTTGTCTTTATTAAGGAGTCTGGAAACCAATGAAAAAATTCCAGGATTTTGTTTTGGTAAAGACAGCCCCCCCCCCCCCCCAGCACCAATTAAAAATCCAAGTTTACACAAAAAGCAACCCCTATGTTTGTTTCTCAAAGGGTCTACTTTTGATTAAAAAAAATATGAGCTAGTTTAAAGTTTTACCGCATAAGTTAGATATCGGTTTTTTTTATAATTTTTTTTTCTATCAACACAAAAATTATTAAATTGTGAATAAAATATCGACCCGCGTTCAGGTTTGGGATGAAACATTTAATACATTTTATCATATCTCATTCTCCCATGGTGGACTCGTACTTGCCCAAACAATGCAGAAAGTCCTTCAGAGGCAAGAGGAGAATCAATCACTATTCAAACACCCCCAAATTTGCAGATTTTGGTAATTTTTTTAAAAATATTTTAGGAAAAAAGTTCACATTTTCGACCGGTTTTGACGCAAATTTTAGGCCATATTTTCTTTTCAAAAAGGCATCTGTCCACGACTTGCAGTGGAATGTCTTCTATGGTCCATTAGGCATCTTCCCTGCAAGTTTCAAGCAATTTCATATTTTGGCCAAAACTGAAAAAAATGCAAGGGGTTAGCCTTACATTTTTATCAAAATTTGGCCAAAAATTGACTTTTCTCCAAACAATGCAGAAATCCCTTCAGAGGCAAGAGGAGCATCAATCACTATTCAAACACCCCCAAATTTGAAGATTTTGGCAAAAAAATCATAAATATTTTAGGAAAAAAGTTCACATTTTGACCGGTTTTGACCCAAATTTTAGGCGATATTTCTTCAAAAACACATCTGTCCACGACCTGCAGTGGAATGTCTTCTATGGTCCATTAGGCATCTTCCCTGCAAGTTTAAAGCAATTTCATATTTTTGCCAAAATTGAAAAAAAATGCAGGGGGTTAGCCTTACATTTTCATTAAAATTTGGCCAAAAATTGACTTTTCTCCAGACAATGCAGAAGGTCCTTCAGAGGCAAGAGGAGCATCAATCACTATTCACACACCCCAAAAATTGAAGATTTTGGCAAAAAAATTATTAATATTTTAGGAAAAAAGTTAACATTTTCGACCGGTTTTGACCCAAATTTTAGGCCATATTTTCTTTTCAAAACCACATCTGTCCACGAATTGCAGTGGAATGTCTTCTATGGTCCATTAGGCATCTTCCCTGCAAGTTTAAAGCAATTTCATATTTTGGCCAAAATTGAAAAAAATGCAAGGGGTAAGCATTACATTTTTATCCAAATTTGGCCAAAAATTGACTTCTCTCCAAACAATGCAAAAAGTCCTTCAGAGGCAAGAGGAGCATCAATCATTATTCAAACACCCCCAAATTTGAAGATTTTGGCCAAAAAATCATTAATATTTGAGGAAAAAAGTTCACATTTTGACCGGTTTTGACCCAAATTTTAGGCCATATTTTCTTTTCAAAACCACATCTGTCCACGAATTGCAGTGGAATGTCTTCTATGGTCCATTAGGCATCTTCCCTGCAAGTTTAAAGCAATTTCATATTTTGGCCAAAATTGAAAAAAATGCAAGGGGTTAGCCTTACATTTTATCAAAATTTGGCCAAAAATTGACTTCTCTCCAAACAATGCAAAAAGTCCTTCAGAGGCAAGAGGAGCATCAATCACTTGTCAAACACTCCCAAATTTGAAGATTTGGGCAAAAAATCATTAATATTTTAGGAAAAAGTTCACTTTGACCGGTTTTGACCCAAATTTTAGGCGATATTTCTTCAAAAACACATCTGTCCACGACCTGCAGTGGAATGTCTTCTATGGTCCATTAGGCATCTTCCCTGCAAGTTTAAAGCAATTTCATATTTTTGCCAAAATTGAAAAAAAATGCAGGGGGTTAGCCTTACATTTTCATTAAAATTTGGCCAAAAATTGACTTTTCTCCAGACAATGCAGAAGGTCCTTCAGAGGCAAGAGGAGCATCAATCACTATTCACACACCCCAAAAATTGAAGATTTTGGCAAAAAAATTATTAATATTTTAGGAAAAAAGTTAACATTTTGACCGGTTTTGACCCAAATTTTAGGCCATATTTTCTTTTCAAAACCACATCTGTCCACGAATTGCAGTGGAATGTCTTCTATGGTCCATTAGGCATCTTCCCTGCAAGTTTAAAGCAATTTCATATTTTGGCCAAAATTGAAAAAAATGCAAGGGGTTAGCCTTACATTTTATCAAAATTTGGCCAAAAATTGACTTCTCTCCAAACAATGCAAAAAGTCCTTCAGAGGCAAGAGGAGCATCAATCACTTGTCAAACACTCCCAAATTTGAAGATTTTGGCCAAAAAATCATTAATATTTGAGGAAAAAAGTTCACTTTTTCGACCGGTTTTGACCCAAATTTTAGGCGATATTTTCTTTTCAAAAACGCATCTGTCCACGAATTGCAGTGGAATGTCTTCTATGGTCCATTAGGCATCTTCCCTGCAAGTTTAAAGCAATTTCATATTTTGGCCAAAATTGAAAAAAAATGCAAGGGGTTAGCCTTACATTTTATCAAAATTTGGCCAAAAATTGACTTCTCTCCAAACAATGCAAAAAGTCCTTCAGAGGCAAGAGGAGCATCAATCACTATTCAAACACCCCCAAATTTGAAGATTTTGGCCAAAAAATCATTAATATTTGACAAAAAAAGTTGACATTTTCGACCGGTTTTGACCCAAATTTTAGGTCATATTTTCTTTTCAAAAACACATCTGTCCACGAATTGCAGTGGATTGTCTTCTATGGTCCATTAGGCATCTTCCCTGCAAGTTTCAAGCAATTTCATATTTTGGCCAAAACTGAAAAAAATGCAAGGGGTTAGCCTTACATTTTTATCCAAATTTGGCCAAAAATTGACTTTTCTCCAAACAATGCAGAAATCCCTTCAGAGGCAAGAGGAGCATCAATCACTATTCAAACACCCCCAAATTTGAAGATTTTGGCAAAAAAATCATAAATATTTTAGGAAAAAAGTTCACATTTTGACCGGTTTTGACCCAAATTTTAGGCGATATTTCTTCAAAAACACATCTGTCCACGACCTGCAGTGGAATGTCTTCTATGGTCCATTAGGCATCTTCCCTGCAAGTTTAAAGCAATTTCATATTTTTGCCAAAATTGAAAAAAAATGCAGGGGGTTAGCCTTACATTTTCATTAAAATTTGGCCAAAAATTGACTTTTCTCCAGACAATGCAGAAGGTCCTTCAGAGGCAAGAGGAGCATCAATCACTATTCACACACCCCAAAAATTGAAGATTTTGGCAAAAAAATTATTAATATTTTAGGAAAAAAGTTAACATTTTCGACCGGTTTTGACCCAAATTTTAGGCCATATTTTCTTTTCAAAACCACATCTGTCCACGAATTGCAGTGGAATGTCTTCTATGGTCCATTAGGCATCTTCCCTGCAAGTTTAAAGCAATTTCATATTTTGGCCAAAATTGAAAAAAATGCAAGGGGTAAGCATTACATTTTTATCCAAATTTGGCCAAAAATTGACTTCTCTCCAAACAATGCAAAAAGTCCTTCAGAGGCAAGAGGAGCATCAATCATTATTCAAACACCCCCAAATTTGAAGATTTTGGCCAAAAAATCATTAATATTTGAGGAAAAAAGTTCACATTTTGACCGGTTTTGACCCAAATTTTAGGCCATATTTTCTTTTCAAAACCACATCTGTCCACGAATTGCAGTGGAATGTCTTCTATGGTCCATTAGGCATCTTCCCTGCAAGTTTAAAGCAATTTCATATTTTGGCCAAAATTGAAAAAAATGCAAGGGGTTAGCCTTACATTTTTATCCAAATTTGGCCAAAAATTGACTTTTCTCCAAACAATGCAGAAATCCCTTCAGAGGCAAGAGGAGCATCAATCATTATTCAAACACCCCCAAATTTGAAGATTTTGGCCAAAAAATCATTAATATTTGAGGAAAAAAGTTCACATTTTGACCGGTTTTGACCCAAATTTTAGGCCATATTTTCTTTTCAAAAACACATCTGTCCACGAATTGCAGTGGAATGTCTTCTATGGTCCATTAGGCATCTTCCCTGCAAGTTTAAAGCAATTTCATATTTTGGCCAAAATTGAAAAAAATGCAAGGGGTTAGCCTTACATTTTATCAAAATTTGGCCAAAAATTGACTTCTCTCCAAACAATGCAAAAAGTCCTTCAGAGGCAAGAGGAGCATCAATCACTATTCAAACACCCCCAAATTTGAAGATTTTGGCAAAAAAATCATTAATATTTGACGAAAAAAGTTCACATTTTCGACCGGTTTTGACCCAAATTTTAGGTCATATTTTCTTTTCAAAAACACATCTGTCCACGAATTGCAGTGGATTGTCTTCTATGGTCCATTAGGCATCTTCCCTGCAAGTTTCAAGCAATTTCATATTTTGGCCAAAACTGAAAAAAATGCAAGGGGTTAGCCTTACATTTTTATCAAAATTTGGCCAAAAATGGACTTTTCTCCAAACAATGCAGAAATCCCTTCAGAGGCAAGAGGAGCATCAATCACTATTCAAACACCCCCAAATTTGAAGATTTTGGCCAAAAAATCATTAATATTTGAGGAAAAAAGTTCACATTTTCGACCGGTTTTGACCCAAATTTTAGGCCATATTTTCTTTTCAAAAACACATCTGTCCACTAATTGCAGTGGATTGTCTTCTATGGTCCATTAGGCATCTTCCCTGCAAGTTTCAAGCAATTTCATATTTTTGCCAAAATTGAAAAAAAAATGCAGGGGGTTAGACTTACATTTTCATTAAAATTTGGCCAAAAATTGACTTTTCTCCAGACAATGCAGAAGGTCCTTCAGAGGCAAGAGGAGCATCAATCACTATTCACACACCCCAAAAATTGAAGATTTTGGCAAAAAAATTATTAATATTTTAGGAAAAAAGTTAACATTTTCGACCAGTTTTGACCCAAATT